CTCCTTACCCGTTTAGTATTATAGCCCTCCACTCCCCCCGCTTTGTACTCCACCTCCTGACTGCACACCTCACACCCCTCTCTCCAGGCACACGCACGCACCCACACGCGCCCACACGCCGCCCGCCCGCAAGCACGCACTGTGTGTTTTATTTATTATTCATGTAATTTTCATCGAGTTAATTGCAGATTTGTCGTATCTAGAGTCTTTCTGCTGTGCTCTTTGTTTTTCTCTCTTTTTCAGTTTCTTTTTGTTCAARCCTTCTGCACCAATGAATATGATTTTGTCACATGGAGGAGTTTGTATTTTGATTACAGGTGTTATCTTATTCAATACAAAAAAGATACAAATTACTCAAATCATGCACTTTGGTTTTGAACAAAATATAGGCAACGGAAGGTTGTGTTGTTTACGAAGTATTGATCAATTACATGGACCTACTTTTCAATCCATTTATGGAAACATAGCATGTGTTGGTTACCGGACGCTATGGAGGGCCCTACCCCAGTATCAGCTCTGATTCATGCAGCTACTATGGTAACAGCAGGTGTTTTCATGATGGCAAGGTGTTCTCCCTTATTTGAATACGCACCCAAGGCTTTAATTGTGATTACTTTTGTGAGAGCTATGACGTCCTTTTTTGCGGCAACTACAGGAATTTTACAAAAATTCTCTCTTGTGATGAGAATGATGTGTCTGACTCTGTCTTTCTTGCACACATCATTCATACAGCTCGTACCTAAGTTCTTACAGGTGACTGTAGTGAATATGGTGAAGGCATAGTCTTACCCCATCAGTAATGGTGGAAGGTCGAGGTTCCAAGGGTTCGGTTGTTCGCCGATGAAAGTGGTAAACTCATTGCCGTGTCAGACGAGTAATCTCTGACCTTATTACTTCACTATATGCGGGAAAGTCCTAACCTATTTATTGAATGAATTTCAATACACAATGGATAATCCGCAGGAAACCAACATATGTCTGTGTAGGATCCTCAGAGACTATACATGAAGAGTCCGAACAAAAAACAGAGTCAATTCACATTCTGTACTATGATATCAATCAACACTGATCATTTACAGTTACAATGGTTAGCAGGATTGATTCTGTGATGCAGAATCCGAAGAGTGGAGATCAAGGTCAGCGACCTTTCAATGCTGGTCCTGGCCAAGTTCATGTTACTGTACAAAAAAATCATTTCTATGGATGTTTTCTTTCTTCGCTGTATTTTTTTTCTAGTACTTTTTAGCCCCCCTAGCTGAGCACCTTCAAGTAGTGCCAAATAATCGGTCATTCTTCGTTTGGAGTGCCTCCAGCACTCTTAATGGGGGTCTCTCGGTTAGGATGTCTGTCTCCCACGGGTAATTATGAATGCTCGTCTGAGTGACTCCCTGCTCAGCGGGTGGTGGGAACCAAACAGTCTACAGGGTTCACGTGTGACGTAAGTAAGGTGATGTGCCACTTTTCTCCGTGTTGGATATACGTAGATCATGTGCTCCGCCACTGCCTTTCGTCCCGCATGCTTTCCATGCCGTCATCGCTGCTCTGCAGCGTTACCGCCCATCTGCATACCGTGCCTTCTGCCTCCTGCACTCCTCTTTAGCAATACGTAGTTCAGCTGCTCCTGCAGTGTTGCTTGGTGCTGCTTCGCTGAGTTGTTGCTTGCTGCTATTGCGTGCCTCGATGTGCTTTACTGCCCATCCGCATTCGTTGTGCCTTCCACGTCCTGCAATCGTCTACGGAGATACGCAGTTCTGCAGCTCCGGCAACGTTGCCTGGTACTTCTCTGAGTTGCTACCTTCTGCTATGTCCCGCTCGTGGACAGTGCCTTCCACATGGGTCAAAGGCTTCATGACTCAAACCATCAATACAGGGATTCCTATCATCGTCCGCTCTTTTTTTTCCCTCTTTCGGTCTTTGCACTTCCTGGATTGCCTGTTCGGTGCCCCTCCCACCTTTCCCATGCCCTCCTCCCCGTTTGTTTTGCACTCTGAGAACCTGGTCATGGGTCATAGCAAGCTACAAATGAATCGGGTAAGAGTTCCATGAGACGTAGAGTGGCGGCATACAGCAAAAGTTTGGTTATGGCCTGGGGTGGGGTTACCATTAGTGGCATCAGGGGCATGGTGTGTACACCATGGGATATATATTGGACACACACGAAACAAATACCATCACCCTGCATTTTACGTCTCTACCCACCCAGCCCCGTTACGAATGCAGTCTACCACTTCATAGAAATGAATATCTCCGTCAATACAACGAGGTTTGAAGAGCAGACGCTTCCCGTCCGAAACCCACGCATGGGAACTACTGCCGACTGTGGGCCAAAGAGGAGAAATGACGACCGCCAAAAGACGCATTACAACCCTCCTACCCCCTCTCCCCAAATGAAAAACACCACCACCCATAACCACCACATCCGTCTAAGATCTCCACCAAACGAGCTATACAAAGAAACGGGGCTGGACTAAAACACACCAGACCCACACACGTTTTCCCCCTGAGACCTTGCACCAAATGCAAGCCCCAAAATACACCACCAAATTTCCCCTGACCTTGCACCAAAAACAGCACACCTGCTGTACCCCCCCACCACCTTACTAACCCTCTTCTTTTTTTAAACTAACCCTTAAAATGCTATAGAACATTTTCAAATTTAATACGCATTCCTTTCAGAAAAGACTCCTCCCGCCCGCCCAAAGGCACAGCACCGACCGGGGAAATCCAAACAAAATACAAAAAAAAACTTCCCACTCTCAGGTACTACCCCGTTCGTCGAAATGAAAAACATGCGAAGCCACCCCTCATCCCCCTTCCACTAAGCAATGAACAGCGCATCCCGATAAACTATCGCTCTAACCCTTTATCGCCTCCCTACTGACAAAACATAGCCCGCCATCCATTGCTGCTATCTCCAAACTTCACGACCAATGGACACTGTCTGCCATCCAGCGGTTACTAAAATTGAAAAAAAAAAAAAAACGGATCACACCAACGCACAATGGAGCCTGCCAGCGTGGAGCTTCCTAAACTGCCTCACCCCAATCCGCATGGACCATTACATACCCACAAAGAACCACTACCGCTACCCATATTCCTCAACCCCCTACCTCCAGTACTTCCCACTTATCAACCCCCCACACAAACAAACACTTTCTCTATCAAAGCACAGAGCCGCCATGAACCCATCCACCCCATTCCCTGCTCTGCCCTTCCTCCAAACTCCTCCCTCTACCTACACACAGCAACTTCCTTGCAGCTTTCCACCTCACCTGTTATCACTGTGCAGAGAGGAGTTTTCCTCTCCTTGCTCCAGCGCATGATGCTTGAACCCACACCTGCAACCAGGCATAGCTGAGACCCTCTGCCAGTCCCCACCACCTCCCTCTCGGTGCTGCACTCAGACTTCTATTGCCTTGCGAAGTGCCATTCCTCCTTGCTAAGTGCCTGCTCTGGGGTATTATAATCCCACTGTGGTCATTCTAATGCCCCGCGGCGCTCAGTCAGCATCTTCCTCGGAGCACAATGGCAGTAATACTGTGACTTCACCAGAGACTAAATCAACCAGTGTTGCAAGTACCACACAACGACCTCTCTCTCTCTCTCTCTCTCTCTGTGTGTGGGAGTCCAAGGGTTTTCAGACACTCTAATGAGCTGTCACCCCTCTATCCCGTAGATGGCTAAGACACCACCCCTGCTACCCCCTTCCTGCC